CCTCAGCAGAGATGCTGACTTCACTCTTGGGCATCTTGGCGATGGGTCCGTGCCTGCCTGGGGCCTGCAGGCCTGGCCACTGCCCCTCCTCCCAATGCCCCCCCCCTTTTTTTTTAATGCCCCCCTTTTGTTTCTTAAATTCCACATTTGAGTGAAATCATATGACATTTATCTCTCTCTGATTGACTTCTTTTAGGTAATAGCCTAATACCCTCTAGCTCCATCCACATCATTATAAATGGCAAGATTTCATTCTTTCTGATGGCAGAGTAATATTGTGAACATTTCATTTTTAAAAGGTTCTGATCGTTAAGACTGGCTATCCAGGCTTAAATGAATGTCCAGCTATGTCCTTCACCATCTCTGGTACAGATATCTCTCAGTGCAGGCCCCGTGACTTTAATGAGTCACTTTCAGGTTGATTGTAAAGATATGGGTCAGAATCTCATGATTTCTAGCTTCTAGGAGATCTCATATCTTATGGGGCTGCCAGTGTTTCTGTTTGCTGTTTTTACACCATGCATTTTCGTGTGATATTTCATGTTAATTTTCACAATAACCCTGTAAGGTGAGCACTGTTTTCCATTATCCTATTAGTTTGGGGAGAAAGAACTAAGACCCAGAGATTGACTTGCTCAAGGTCATAAGATAACACCAGAGTCAAGACTCAAGCCCAGGTCCCTGGCTCTAATACTCACCCTACCATGCTGTCCTAGGTCTTACAAATTTTCTCTGATTTTGAGGGTACAACTTCTTCAGGGTTGTGGTGCCTAACCAGAGAAAATAAGTTATTTAAGGCAGTAGAATAAAGACCACTGCAGACAAACTTCTGATGAGACTGATTCAGTGTTGGGAACAAGATTCACACTCATAGCCAGGACTGAGCCAACGGGGAAAGAGGCCAACTCAACTACCCATACTTTCTTTCCTGCCCTCCCTCTCTGTATTTTAGTGTTCTCGTAGTCACTGCCCTGCGACGCTGAGTGTCCTGTCTCTGTTCTCTTACCATGGTGGTCACCCGTGCCTCCTGCCCTTAGATTAGGTCACATCTTTGCTATACTAACATTCAAGGTTTACCTATTCTGCTTCCCATTTGCTTTGGGATCTTTTATTTAGTCTTTGATCTATGATGAACTCATTCATTAGGGTTGAGGGGAGGATTTTCAATTAAAAAAAGGAGGAATCCTGGAGAAGATAAAGAAGCCAAAGTATTAACCAAAAAATGCCAATTTCTGTGAAAAGAGATCTTTGTTTTTGGCAGAGTGACTTTTATGCAACACATCTAATGCTAAAGCAGAGTTGATCACTAACAATATGTTCATAACTTCCTTCATCTCTATCCTAATTCAACAATTAATTAAAATATCCTAGTATTGATAAGCGTTTCATAAATATTTTGACCTCCTGTTTCCCAGCTTAATAGTGGAATAAAATATAGGAGAAACTATGTTAGCTTTGGGGAAAACAAACCTGAGTTTAAAGCCCTGCTTGATGGCTCTTGACAAGTTGCTGATCTCTAAATCTTGGTTTCTTCATTTGTGAAATGGAGATAATACTTCCTAGCTTCTAACTTATAAGGACTAAATATAAGAGGCCCTCATGCCCTCAGTGGGGTGCTGAGTTGGCTTGTTCTGGCTCGCAAGAACCATTTGTGAAGTTTTCAGGAATTTCTGAGCTGGTTGTTAAACATAGCCACATCAAAAATTAAAGTATATAAACTTCCAATTAAATACATTTAAAAAAAGATGTAATAGATACTCAAAACTCATCACATCCTAGTTATTTTGCTATATTTTACAATTATCTATAGTCCTCTGGTTATTTATATCTATTGTATGTGTAAGGTGGAAATACTCAGGAATGGTACACCATCTCATGTTAGATACCATCCTGTTGATAGTTTGCCCATGATGAGAATATTTACACTACAGAAATGGGCAAAACTATAAATCAGGATTGATTTATTGCTTTGTCAATTGTCTAAGGAAGGCAGGGCTAGCAGACAGAATTTGGCCCATGGATATCTTTGTACAGCCTGCAAAATAAGAAGAAATTTTGTATTATGAAAAGACTGTAAGATATGACAGAGACCAGATGTGGCTGCAAAACCTAAAATATTTATTTTTTGGCCCTTTAAAGAAATGTTTGCTGTCTTTTGTGTAGGTGGAGAAAAATGTTAATCAGAAATATTAAACTTCAAAGTGTGTCATGCTTGTAGCCTTACATTGTGAGGAGCACACACACACACACAAATGAAGAAAGAAATGTTTTCCACTATTTGAAAACTACTGATTCAGCAAAGAAGCCACTTGTGTTGCTGATTAGTGAATGAATTTCCAATATACATGTTGGAACTGAAAGAGGGTGCAATTTAATAAATATAATTTGTGTGAGGGTAGTGGCTCAGTAGTATATCACGGATGTGATTTCATGACAACAAATGCATTGGGAAAAGCATTCATGGGCCAGAATGCAGTTCCATTGATCAAATCATAATTGGAAATCGGCTACCAATATAAGAGTTCGGCGAAGCCCAGTGGAAGTCAATTGGCTACATGGAATTTACAACACACAAAAACTTTGTGTTCTGTTATTATTTGTGAAAATGTTCTATATCTCTAAGATCTAAAAAGTTGAAACATGTGAGAGGGCTTCCATACACATGTGTGCATGCGTGTGTGTATACACCCCTCTCTGAAAGCCAGTTGTCAAATGTTACCCAGCACACCACTGCACATACCCCCACAACCCCTATTTCTTCATACCTCCTCCAGGTTCTTAGTTGAAAAACATGGGCCCTCTTTACTTCATAGGATTATCCAAGCTACCTCCTGGCTCAGAGCCTTTGCTGTTGCCTTTTCCTTACCCTCCTCAATACCTTTCACTCCCCATACCCGAGATCCTTCAGATCCAGTCTAGTTGGCCAGATATGATAGTGTGAAGTGCTCAGGGAAAACCAGTAGTAGCTAATGCTGACATAGTGTGTCTCTATATTACTCTAGTTGGACCAGCACTTTGCACATATTAACTGATTTAATCTTCATCGTAACACTGTGGAACAGGCAGTCATTATATGTCAATCTTACAGCTGAGGACACATAGAGATGTTAAGCTAAACCCTGAGGTCTACCATCATCCAGTTGATTTGTGGCAGAGCTGAGATTTGAACCCAAGTAAGAGATTTCAGAGTCTACATCCTCAACCCTCACCTTCCCCTGCTGCTGGGGAGAATGAAATCACAACACAGGCTCTCACCATCCAAGAAGAACTGGTCTAGGGGTCATGCAGGAGTCCTTTGGACAGCTCAGAGCTGCAGAGCAAGGTGAGTGTCATCATGGACCCTTCAAGTGGGAGGGGAGAACTTACGGGGCTGGGTTCCCCCTCTTCCTTGTGATGAGGGGTGTGTCTGGGTCATGCTTCCATATTTGGGAGCCCGTAGACCTGTTGGACCTATGGATGCTAGTCAATTAGAGAAGTAGAATGTAGCACTCCTGAGAGGTTTGAATGTACACCTTCCACTAACTTTACAATGGGAAACATGGGTGTGTGCCTATATATGGGCAACACCCACATGCCCATGTGTGCTCACGCTATTTTGGAAAGTTGTCCTTTTCTCAGCTCACTCATTGATTTAGCTAACAAAGAGTTATGCAATACTTTCTCCATGGGAGGCACTCTGCTAAGACCATGGATGGATACAAAGACAAGTTGGCCACCATGCTTTCTTTCCAGAATTTTTTCTTGTATAAGCGGTAAGTAGGTCACTATAATATACAAGGTCAGAGGATTTGAGGGACAGTGAGAGAAGTACAAATAAAGGATGAGGGGGGTTGGTGGGCAGAGTAGGGGCAGATGAGGAATGGGGTTGGCTTCAGGGATAACTTAGCACTTGAGATGGCCCGGCAGATACGAGGATGTGAAAGGAAGGTGCTTTAGGTAAAAGAAGGAACTTGTGCAAATGCACAGAGCCAGGGCAGCTTGGCCAAGGTGGGCAAGATGTTAAAGTCTCTGAAGAGACAGGAGGTAAGAAAATACTAGAAAGATAGATTAGGGTGAGATTGTCAGAGGGTGGGAGGACTTCTAAATGTCAGACCAAAGCATTTTAAATGTATTTTTTTCAACAGTGGTAACCCCTCGGGGGATTTTGATTAGGAGAGCATCCAGCAAGGTGCTCACTAGATATGTAGTATGCAGATGACCAGTCAATATTAATTCAATTGATAAAGCAGAGAAATAATGGATGAAATTTATGGGGTGCTTGCTATAGGTCAGGCACTTTTCACACATTTCAAACCATGCATGTAATTCTCACCACAGCTCATGAGAAGCTCTACCTCTACCCCACAGAGGGGGAAAGTAAGACTCAGAGATGCTATGTGTCTTGTCCAGGGTTGTGACAAACAAGTAGGCATGTGACCAAGGCCTACACTTTACGTGGCTATGCCACTTGGAAAACAGAGACAAGAGAAGAAAAAGAAAGAGAAAAGGAATATGAGGCCAATGTTGTTCTTCAGAAAGGAGGCTGTGGTAGGGCCAAATTAGCCAAGGAACAGAGTGGGTTGGAAATAAGAGGAATTCCAAAGATAGAATCCACATGGATCTGTTATTACTTGCTCTAGGAGGCCCAGGAGAGAAAAGGGTCAAAAAGGCTCAGTTGCAAAAAAAAAAAAAAAAAAAAAAAAAAAAGAAGGCTCAGTTGCTAACTTCAGCCCCCAGGAGGTGGGAGAGCTATTAAAAGAAATTGGGGGGTGGGGAGGGGGAGGGTGGTTCAGTTCAGACCATGCCTGTGGAACCTGGGGACTCAGAACCCTCCAGGGGAGTCTGAGAAGAAGTGTTTTACAAGGCGAGCCTCAGGGCCCCTCAGCCAGGTCCCATTCCCTACTCTGGGCTCTGGGAGTTTGTTCTGGGAATCTCGAGGCCCTCCCAAGTTTCCTTTCTATGTTTATATCATTTATCAGAGAAAGGATTGTTAATGACTAATCTGTGTTCATGAGGCACAGAGCCAAAGAAGAGATGTTGCTGCTGAGCTGGAAGGCTGCCTGTGATCATCCACAGCTTTTACTAGAGCTCCCTCCTCTTCCTCCTCCTGCTGCTCACCCCACTGTCTCCTGGACTCACCCCAATGCAAACCCAGGTTCTGAGCGCTGGTAGCAAAATCGCTGTGGTTCGGAGAGGAGGCCTGGACTCAGAATCCTCCCAGGCCTTGAAGGTTCATCTCCAGCCTGAGACAACCCAAGTAAGTAACCTCATTCCTCAGGGGCCAGGTGTCTGTCTCAAGGTGGCAGAGGGGAAGCTGTCATTCAGGATTTCTCTTTCACATTGAGAAGTTTGGTTGATGAATGAATTCTAAGTCAGTAGAGTTTGAGGTAAAGTCCTGAAAACAAGAAGGGGAAGAAAAAGATAGAAACTCTAAAAACAAACAAGAGGAAGCAGGAGTTCATGGGGTCTAACAGCTGCTTACCTTATTAACAATTTAGGACTATCCTTTAAACATTGTGGTCATCCGGGAAAATTACTGGAGACAGTGAATTTCAGGAATGTCTCTGTTCTGAGTCCATAGACAATCTGACCTGAACAGTGTGCTCGATTTGGGTGATTTGTCAAACCTTGCTGTGACTTTGGGAATCTTGCTAATGTCAAATGACTTGGGATCTGGGGACAGGATGACGTTTAAGCCATGCTTAACCAAAGTAAAAGTTTTTCCTAGGAGAAGAGTGGCTCTGAAAAGCTTTCTCTTTTGATTTTGGTTGTAAACATGCTTTCCACTTATCATGTTACTACTGGATAGAAATATTTTTTAAAAGACGGAAAATGTTAGGAAGAACTTTGATATTAAAATTATCCAAGGTCCAGATCTACAAATAAGGCACCTGTCCACTTACCGCCACAGGGAGTTAGGCAACTAACTATAAGGGGAGCCTGAATCCTTTCTCTTAACTGAGTTTTTACTCAGAAGGGGGAGTCGATACACATGACTCACTTTGGATTCTTCCTCTGGGAAACTCACCTGAGTTTGTTTGTTTGATTGATTGATTTTATTTTAATTTTTTTAAGATTTTATTTCTTTATTGAGACACACACACACAGAGAAAGAGAGAGAGAGAGAGAGAGAGAGAGAGAGAGAGAGACGAGAGAGAGAGACAGGCAGAGGGAGAAGCAGGCTCCATGCAGGGAACCTAACATGGGACTTGATCCTGGATCTCCAGGATCACACCCCGGGCTGCAGGCAGCGCTAAACCACTGCGTCATGGGGGCTGCCCTCACCTGAGTTTTAAAGACGGCCGGGTTTGAGGGACCTCGGCAGTATCGACAAGAAATGCAGAGAAAGAATCTTTTTGAAATAATGAGCCATCACTGGGTTTCTAGCTGTGATTTTCTGAAATACTGGACACTTTCATCTTTGAGCCACCCCCCTCTTTCAAATTATGGACCTGTGCCATTTGCACTGTGGACCTTTCTGTTTTTCTCGGGGTGTTGCAATGTGGCTGATGCAACCTGCTGGGAGCTGATAGGTACCAGCCAGGGATGATACACTCTTGTCCTGGGACCCTCTCTCAGCCTGTGAACCTCCTGCAGGCTCCTCTGGCTTCTCCCCACAGCTGGAGAGGGCGAGGAGTGTGGCCTGGCCTTCCCATACCTCCCCCACCTGGCCAGGCTCTAACAGAACCACCCAGCCCTTGGGAGGCCCCGGGGAGTTTGTAAGCAAAGGAAGGGAAGTTTGCGTAGCCTTGGATGTGTGAAGGAGCTAGCTGCCTGAGAGCGCCCACTGATGAGCCGACTTCACCCCCACCGCCTGTTTCCTTCTCACTATAAGCCTGCTTGGAAGTTTTTTCTTACATTCATTGGATAGGTGAACAAACAGGCTCAAAGAAGACAACTCATTTTTTTTCTTAATTTTTTTTGACTAACACACTATCCCCCGAGTGTGGGGTTAGGCCTCACACCCTGAGATCAAGAGTCTCATGTTCTACTGGCTGAGCCAGCCCACCTGCCCTCTGAGGGGACCCAGAGCCCATCCAGGGTTGCAGTTAGGAAGGAGCAGGTCCTCAGCACGAGGCAGGCCTTCGTGACCCTATGGCCCTCTCCTTGCCACCCCGACGTTGTGGGAAGCTGGCAAAACCTGAGACCTGGATGATGGGAGGCTGGGCAAAGTGGCTGGCGGATTTCAGGGGTGATGGGTGCAGGTGCGAAGAGTCCTAAAGCCCCGTGGGGTGTTTTGTAGGGGCCCCGCCATGAGCAGGGGCAAGAGGAGGCGCTCAACGCCAGCTTCAGCCCCGAGATTGGTCTGGGAGTACCGGTCGGGCCGTGAACCCCCAGTCGGGGTGTCCCAGAGCCACTCGGCACTGCTGTGGCTCAGAGCTGCAGGCTGGGAAAGCGGGGGTCAGGGGGACCCGAGTCCCCATCCCCGTGTGACCCACGAGAAAGGGCTGGCTGGTCCTTGGGTGGTGGGGTGGCTGCAGGAAGGCAAAGGCACGAGGTTATGGTTCTTCGATGGGAGAAGTTCCCCTTGGTTGGGCTGCGAGCCTCCTCTCCCCTTTCATCCTAGTAACAGGAAGGGCTAAGAGAAACAGAAGCAGTGTCCTTGTGTCCCTCCTTGGGGCCCCTCTTCCTGCAGGGGGACCGGTCCCCGCAGCGCAGGTGTCCTCCTTGCCGGACATGCCCACCGCCTCGCTCCCCTCCCTCCCTCCCACCCTCCTGCCCTGGCCCCTGTGCCCTCCCCCGGGAGCTCTGTTCTTTCAGCTCGTCCCTTCCACATTTGGTGGCAAGGGACTGTCAGCTATTCGTACTCCTTTTCCTTTATAAGTTTGTGTCAAAATGCTCCTGACATAACGCAACTTGATGGTGAAGGGAAATACCGCGCGGAAGTCACGTAGCTTTTTTCTTGCTTAGGTCTGAGCATTATAGCAGAGTTCCAGTGTCTACATTTAATATATGTGAATATAACATCGTTTTGAATCATTGTTATTTTTCGAGATAAAATCCTAATAAAACTTGGAGATTTTACTTTCTGCTCTGAATACAATCAATGCTGCAGTCAACATCCTGTGTGCCTGTGCAAAGGACGATATTTAAGAGTTAGAATTGCATTTTATTTTAATATACACTGCTTGAGGGCCTGCCAGGAAGACTAAAATCGATGACACCACCAGCAGACTCTGAGAATACACATTGTCATGCAAGAAACTTTTGATAGGTAGAAATGGTATCTCCTTATATTAATTTGTATTTTTCTGATTATTAATTAATTTCAGACGTTTTGTAAAGTTTATTGGCCACTTTTATTTTCCTTTCAGTGAATTTTCCTCCTTATATCCTTTGCTAGTTTCTTTCATGGATTGTTTATCCTTTCAGTTTTTATTTATAGCAGTTGTTTTTATATTGTTTGTACTGATTTTTGGCTACTTATGTTGTAAACATTTCGTCCTGGTTTGTTTCATATATTTAGCTGTTCATGGTGTCTTGATCTGTCTTTTTGATTTTAATATAGTCGAATTTATTTTTTTTCCATTTATTTCTTGTTTAAGAAATTCTTCACCCTTTCACTCATGCAGGTCATGAATGTGTTTCCTATATTTTCTTCCAATAATTTTATGATTTTAAAAATCTTTGATCCACCTGAGAATTATTTCAAGAATGACACAAGATAAAAATCTTTAATTTTTTTTCCCTCAAAGGAATAGTTCATTTTCTGGATGCTATTTCTTGAGTAGGTCATCTCCACTGTATGCCCTCTGCCTCATGTAATGTCTGCTCATGATTAAATTCAAAAGGCAGCCCACCACCCTCAGGAAGATTTCCTAGTCACATACATGCTTGACGCCCACCAATGATTCCTATTTAGGATAGAAAATTGAAACTCCTTACCATAGTCAACAAGGCCAAATGAAAGCTATCTTCTCTCAGACTTCATCTCTTATACTGTCCCTTTGCTCACCTGTCTCCAGCCTCATCAGGCTTTTGCTGTTCTTCCCGAATTCCAGGCCCAGACTCTTAGCACTTGCTGACCACTCTGCCTTTGGGCTTATTTCCCTCTTGCATGGCTTACTTCTTATCCTCCACTTCTCAGCTCACACGTCCACTCTTCAGGGAGCTCTTTCAGGTTCATTCTATCCAAAATAGTGTCTGATGGCATCGCTCTATACCTCATCCCCTTTATTTTCTTATTAACACCAGTGGAAATCTCACTTTTTATTTGCAAATTATCCATCTCTTCTGCTAGAATGTAAGCCTCTGAAGACAGGTGATTTTTTTTTTTTCTGTCTCATCTATCTTTCCAAAATCTAGATCAAACCCTGATACCTAGTGGGGAAATTAATGAATGTTGAATGAATGAATGTCCTTACTTGTGCTCCTGAAGGGACTTGTGCTTACCTTTGTCATAACAATCCCCAGACTATTTAATTGGGTTTTCCTTGCCTGATGTTTCCACTAAGCTTCTTGAAGAATCATGATTTTTTTTTTTTTTTGGTCCTTATATGTCTGGTGCCTGACACAGAGTCAATAAATGTATACTGACTGAATAAATAAGTGAGCAAATGAATTCCTTCTGCATTGACACTGGAAACTGACATTGAGATGTCATTTGTAAAGAGTAAATACATTACTTAAATACTCACTTTCTTCAGATGCCAATAAGACAGTGGCCAACATGCCATATTGTTTATTTGGGGGATTATTTAATCAACTATCTAATACTATGTAACAAGCTACCCTAAAACTTAGTGGCTTAGAAAGATAATGATTATTTCTTATAATTCTATGGGTTGGCCAGGTGGTTTTCCTTGGGCTCGATCATGCTACTGATTTCAACTGGAGGATCAAGTAGATCTTATTCCCATGGCTAGGTCCTTGATGTTGGCTGTTGATTGGTATGCTTCGAATGGCTAAGTCTCTCCTGGAGTATTTCATTCTTGGTCTCTTTATGGAATCATGGTCTTAGGACATCATTCCAAGATGGTGAAAACAGAAGCCACAGGTCTGTTGAAGCTTAGCTTCAGAAGTAGAACAGTTCTATTGGTCACAGCAGGTCATAATAATAATAACTCATTAAAGGGATGATGAAATAGACTTCACTGAATAATGGGAAAAATTGCCAAGTCAGTTTTTTGTTCAAGATGGCACTGACTGGTCTCATTAAAGCAATTTGCATGACTCTTTATGGATTTATTATGAGCCTTTTTAGGACTCACTCTGTGCCAGAAAATGTATATCCATTATTTTTTGAGACAGACTCCT